GGAATTCTAAGTACTGATATCTTATGACATGAAAACATTACAAAAATACTACAATAGGACTCTGAACTACAGCAGATAGGCTACATATAACAGACTTAATTACCAGCAGAGAACACAATGTACAGAATAAAATATGCACAGCACAGAATACCCTCTACACAGAAAAGTCAATGATACTCTGAGGTTGATAGCACCTTTGTCATAACTAAAAGGAATAGTTACAGTATGATAGAGATTCAAAGAAAGAGAGCCCAGCTGCCCACGTTTAAGGACTGCTTGTACGGAGCGTGGTATGCTGAGCGAGGAGGAGGAGAAGGACAGAACATTGGGGAAAGAGAGGCTCCAAGGCATGGCGCATCACTCGGGTAAGATCTTTTTGCCACCAGGAACCCTAAGACAGGTAACACGTGACGGAATATGTATTCCAGCTAAGGCTGGAAGGTGAAAGAAGACAACCTAAGACAGACACAGTCGTCTGTCCTGTGGCAGAAGCACGGGTATTAACTAATTAAATTTAGAAGGGGGAATTGTCGGAGCCCATGGAAAAGGCTCCGCTTCATCTTGACTTAAGGTCAGAGAGTTCAAAACTGTCCTTACACTTTCAAGATTAAAGTCATAAAACCTAAAGGTCTAGGGCATGACTATTGAAGGATGTTTGGTCTAAGGTGTGCATATCTGATCTAAATAACAAGAGACTTGATCTGAGGTGTGGTTACCAAGTGTTCGGAGAATTAAGGAAGAAAGTCTGTTCCTTGTATCATGGTAAAGAAGTCTTTTGCCATTTCCCCCTTTTTGGTTGGGGTATTTAAGATTTTTGACCAATAAACTGGAATGCCCTCCTGACTCTTTTCTGTGTCTCTGACTTTTCCTTAGTATCTTTAATTTTTGTACTTGCCACTTCTCAATCCACACTCCCCCCTTCTCAGGTATGAACCAAGCAAATTGGCTGGGTCTGACTGAAGCACCCCAAAGACAGGTTACTACAGACAGACAGACCTCATCACATGAATAGTTAAAGCCATGGAACTTTCTATAATAACTGCAGTGACTCAAATCTAGTCATGGATGATGCTGTGAAATGCTCAGTATTTCTCTCACAACAACCTGCCATTTACACTGTATGAGAAATGCTAAAGACTAATTTCATGATTTCTGCTAGTGTTGACATGGTACACATAAAAAAGTCAACAAAGTTCAGGAATTTTTTCTAGTGCTATTTGTACTTACTTGGAATATAAAATAACACTATTTCATCAACTACAAGGCAATAGAAGTTAAGAATATTTCTAGACAAGACAAATTAAGACTTTCTAGTTAGTTTTTCATGCATGACAAAGCATTAGCAAAAAGTGATGTAATGAGCTGAAAAAGGAGCACTCACATTATAAATTATATATTCAAACCACTGAGTGATGTATGTACTTATAAAGAGTATCTGGGCATACTTCCCTTTATGAGGTTTATGCCAACTGCTTTTCATACATTATTTTAGTAGTCACCATAGCATTATAGCACAGTTTCAGCACTTCAATGAAAGCTTCATTTGATGTAGGATTCTCCAGTGAGAGTAAGTTTTCATAGTTCACATAGTGTCTTAGAGTTACTATTGCTATGATGAAACAGCATGGCCAATGCAACTTGGAGAGTAAAGTATTTATTCAGCTTATACAGCCACATCACTGTTCATTACAAGGAAGCCAGGACAGGAACTCATTGGGAGGAATCTGGAGGCAGAAGCAGATACATGGAGGAGTGCTATGTACTGGCTTGCTTCCCATGGCTTGCTCAGTCTGCTTTCTTATAGGACCCTGGACCACCAGCCCAGGGATAGCACCACCCACCTCAATCACTAATTAAAGAAAATGCCCTACAGGTTTGTCTATGGCATGGTTTTATGGAGGTGTTTTCTCCACCTATCTGATTAGGCTAGCATGTGTCAGGTTAACAAAGCTAGCCAGTAGACATGGCTAATATGTTGCGATATGAAAACAGCTGCATCTCACTCTGCAGATCATGCTGTGTTCATAAGCAGCATCATAAGTTTCCTCAACACAAGTTGAGGATGATGGAACAAGACTCAAATTCATGTATGTTTTGACTTGTAAGTCTGTGGTGTTATCCATTATAAAAGCTATCTTGGAACAAGAAAAGATGATCTTTCTAGTCAAAAAACACAATAGCATTGAAGGCTTAATTTTAAAGGCAATTTCTCATTAGCTTTCTTTATCAATGAATTCTTATGATTGATATTCACTTTCAAGAATTTTTAGAAAAAGCTAAGAGTGGAGATTGGTGTATTTATATTATTAAGGAGGAGGCACATTATAATTGAACAAAAGAGTGAGAAGCATAGTAATAAAAATAGTATCAATAACATTCACAATTTATATTGTTTGTTCCCTGTTGCTTTAAGCGCTCCCTCTGTACTGACTTAGCCCCATGGTCTAGAGGCAGGAAATACTGTCCTTTTCAGAGTTAGGGATGGGGAAACAGCCATAGAGATTTCACCCATTTTCTAAGGTTGTCATTATGCAGGTGTTGATGGTGAATCTCAGGTCCAAACCAGGTGACTCCACTGCGTGCTCCACACTTTTAACTACTTGGCTATTGGGACATTCTTTGTAGAAGGAGCTAAAACTGATGACTTTTCTACTTACAACTTATCAGTGACTAGTTCTCTAATCTCACGGATAAGATCTAGAATGATGAATTTGATTCATTAGAGTCTGTAGTTAATTTATTTTGCTTACTTATTTAAATTCTGTAGGATTTCCTTGAAACACAATGTAATTAGTGAGTTAAAAATGTTGATCCTGGCCTTAAAATTAGATCGAGTACAACATAGTTAGCCTATCTAGCCTTTGTAGGTAGACTAGAAAAACAACAGTGGTATGATCTAACACTCTGGATGTGTTTGTGTGTGTTGGTCTGTATTCATATTTTAGGGCTGTCCATGGATACTTCCAAAGTTTTTGAAGAACAGATGATGAACTCATATGCTGAAAAATGAAATCTCTCTAAATCTACATGGGTACAATATGATTAAAAACAAAACATGGTTACTTAAGGGTAAAGTTTGTACCACACTTATGCTTCTTTAGAAAGGTCACCTAACTCTTACCAGCTTTTCTCTGTAAGAAGACTCACACACAGTGACTAATAGTGATGAGGAAGACGAACAACACAGAGCATCAGGGTAGTTCACACAGTAGAAAGCATCCTGCTTTCAAAGGTCAAGAGAAGTTGTTACTTAGTTCTAACAAATGTAAATGCTAACTTTCTGACTTCAGAGGTTGGAGTTCTGCTAGCACTGGTCACTAATTTGCCCACAAAACCTACCAGAGATATTTCCACAAGCATTTATGGGAACACTTATGCTTGGAAGGACAGCAACCAAATTCATTTGATTTGAAAATGCACAATCAGCATTTCCAATATACTTATTTTTGTAACTGACCAAAAAATTCTTTTAATCCTAATCAATCATCCCCTGTTTACTTTGGCAAGCTGGAGATGACAAGAAAACATCTGTGGGTCACAGACAGCTTCTGAGTTTGTGAAATTTGCTTCTTTGTTCCTATTCAGACCAAGTTCCCAAATCCCATAGAACCTTGATTTTCACCATCTCCCCCCCCCAAAAAATTGAAAAATAAAACCAAGAACTACTATTTATCAATATAAGAAATAACTTATTTTAATTAAATTTGATGAATTGGATGACATTTTAATTTCTGAAAAAGAAGGGTGAGTTTTAAACTATTCCAAGGCATTTTATTTTGTTTATTTTCCCCCTCAGAGGATGAAGACCTGTAACAGAAAATACCTACTAAATATAAGCAAAGATAGATGGCAGATTCCTTAACTGTTTTGAAGGTACCTAGTAAGTACACAATCTCAAAGTACGTATGATCATTACTCTTTTTCTTGGTGTTTAGGGACTTTATCTTGAACAGTTTTAAAGCATGCTTGCTATTACACCCTTGCGTCTGCCTGAAAATATGGAGGGCAGCAGTAGACCCAGCAAAAAACATGGTACCAGAAATTTGCTGTGAAAAAGTAAAGTTGTATATTTTAAAAAAGATTTATTTATGCTTACTTTATATTTTATATTTGAGTGTCTGTTTGCACGTATGTATGTATGTATGTATGTGCCACATGTGTGCTAAGTGCCCACAGAGGCATGAGGATGGCATTAGATCCTTTAGAACTAGAGTTATAGATGGATGTTAGCCACCATGTGATTGCTGGAAACCACATCTGGGTCCTCTGCAAGATTAACAAGTGCTCTTAACTCCTGAGTCTTCTCTTCAGTCTAAATTCTGTATCTTAAAAACATTTAGTTTCTACACAAAGTAGTTTTCCCCACTTTATAGACATGTTACACCTTAGGTAGCCACATAAACTTTATTTTTTAGCATCAAGAATCAGTTGTCTTCTATAGTTTTACATTGAAACATTCTGCCCAAAGGTTTCAAACTTCCCCTTGGGAATACCTTACACAGCCTAGTCACTATCTTCTACTACATAATATATTTCTATAGCATTTGACTTGTTTTCCTAAAAGGACAGTGTTTCCTTTTCTTAAACTGTCAAGCTATTACCAAGCAGCTGTGGCTAGGAGGGAGCTACGTTCCATGTGAATACCATCCTTATATAAACACATTCTCAAACACCTTCCTGAGTGGCCTTTATTTACTCTCCATCAGCTGAAGACAAATGGCTGAGTCCTAAGCAAAGGGTAAATTTGTTACTCCCCCACAGCCATGACCTTTTACCCTTTTGGTGGTATTACTGTGATGGAAATAATCTGCAATGGCTTAGTATGACCCACATTATGTCTGCATTCCTGGGCTAGCTACAAACACTGATAATCCTGACAGTGAACACAGGGTATGGGCAGAAGAGATTCTTAAGGCTGAACGATTCTCTCAAATGGATAAGACAGCACATTACTTTACAGTCAAAATTGCATTTAGTGATTCCTTCATTTAGCCACATACCTGGTAAGTCAGAGAAGAGAAGGATGCATTCATTGAAGCCATTAGCCAAAAGCCGGTCACGCAGCTGTTGAAGAATGGCTACTCCAATGCAGAACGGGAAAGAAGAATTTCCAAGTAGTAATGTATCCCAGAGGTGGAAAATTTTGTGCAAAGGAAATACATCTATAGAAAGAATTTTTAAAATTTTAAAAATATACTTAAATGGAACCAAAATTTATTAAAAATATGACAACTGCATTATTAGATATACAACCATTATTACTTCGAGGTCAAGGTTGTTATTTAAGAGCTAATATGTTAAACGGATAAAACGCTTGACTTCAAGTTTTTTAAAAAGATTTTTATTTGTGCATGTGTGAATGCATGTGTGCATGCGTGTGCGTGTGTGTATGTGTGTGTGTGTGCGCATGTGTGTTTGGGTGCATATGCATGTGCACATGCATTGAAGTGTCAATGGAGAGCATCAGACCTCCTTGGGCCACCCGATATGGATGCTGGGAACTAAACTGGTTCTCTGCAAGTTCTCTTAACTACTCAGCCAACTCTCTAGCCCCCGATTCCATTAATTTACAGCTTCCCAAGGACCTTTGATAAACAGTTATTCAATTGGTCAGGCATTACACTTTCTGACTCCTATTAACAACTGGCATATTTATCCAACTTAGAATTTCTCCCAGAATTTTTAGTAACACTGTCTACACAAGCTATATCCTTAGATGAACTTTAGATTTGCTTTATGCACAAAAGCTTACACTTCCATTGTGCATCATAAACAACTGCTTTATTAAATTCCCACTAAAATTCTATTAATTAAAACATGTAACTTCTTACTCACTTTGTACTATGAATATCTTTCTTGGCCAACGCAGATAGACTATTTCAGATATTATCCCACTCATGTGTGCTGCATTTAATCATGGCTATCCACTTCCATTATAGTCACTCTGTAACTGACTGAGTGACTATAGTCATATCATATGATTATTTCTAGAGCATTCCCAGGCTAGGAAATGAAACCATGAGTTAACAGAGAACACCTGGAAAGTCAATTCAGTTGAAAACTGGCCTCAAAAATTCAATGTAAATGTATAGTTGATGTTGAATTCTCTTCTTAAAAAGGAGTAAAGCTATACATGACATACAAAATAGATTTTAGTCCTTTCCAACATTCTTTTTAATTTTTATGGCAAGAAATTGAAATTATTGTCTGTAAACTACATGATGTTAGAATTTTACAAGGATGCACATTACGTTTGATTAATATTCTCATACATTTAAAATTCTGAGGAACTGGTACTTACGAGTGAACATGGTAAGAAACCAAGGGATGGCATAGAGCTGTGAGCACACCAGGAGCACAGGACATGGAGGGAGAGAAAGTAAACGGCCTAGTTAGAATGATCACCATCAAGCTGAATGGTTTAAAACACTGTTTTGTTCTATTCCACTGAAGAAAATACGAAAGAATGCATGTTAACTCTAGTTATTATCACAAGCGCATTATTATATTTATTAATGAGTATGCTTATGACAATGGCCAAATCAAACACAATAACAATACATAAATTTAAAGTACATAGTTTTTAGCTGTAGAAAAATTATGTCTCAAGTTTTAGAGTTCCTTATGATAGTTAAATTTTTATGTTAAATTGACAGAGTATTAGTGTAACACAAATTCTACTTGGTCTTAATAATAAAAACTCAGAGACAGATATTGGGGTTAAAGCTGAATATCAGAGAAACAAATCAGCCAGCCACTAGAGTGTTTTCACCTCTACAAATGCTCAAACTGAAGGGCAATCCTGTCCTCACACTGCATTTCCATACTGCATCTGTCTCCACCAAACCTCAGACTACAATGAGTTCTTGTCTCCTCCCATCTTATACTCTGCTCAGCCTTATCACTCCTGTCTCCAACTCTCCAGTGCTGGAGATTCATTCTCATGTAGCCCAGGGCGGCCTTGAACTCACAGAGATCCATCTGCCTCTGTCTCTTGAGTGCTGGGATTAATGATGTGTACCACCCCTGCCTGACTTCTATGGCTGTGGCTAGCTTTGCACTCTAATCTTATGGCAAACTTTATTAGATCATAAACAAAATGCCATCGCATTAGGATGTTCAGATAAGTGAATACACATTGTTTTGGGATGCATCTCTGAGCATGTTTTCAGGTGGAACTGAGTTTTTAAAAAGTGCTAAGTGGGTTGTATTCCCAGGGTGAAAGGCATCACCCAGTTCACTGAATACCCATAGAGAAGGAGGGTGCAAGAAGAATAAATCTCCTTTTCTGTTCTGCCTCTCTGCTTAGGATGGACATTTCTTTCATCTGCCCCTGTTCTTGAACTGCGGCTGTAATTGCAAATTTTAAAAATAAAAGTAATCTGTGAGTGAATACAGGCTACATTTAAACAAAGGCTTAGATTACCCACTTAGATCATCGCCCTTTCTGTGCCTATCAATTATATATCATGAGGGAGGAGCATGCTGTCTTGACATTGTATATACAAGAGTACATATGCTATCAAAAGGCCAGTCAAGAACTAAAAGTAAAAATATGTAGTTCATTAAAATATAAATGTTATTGCAAAACAATGAACATCGATTTGCACGTCATTACTGGCTTAAGATGACAGGCTGATAATCTTTTCCAGAGATATTGCAAATGTCAAAAAGGAATCTCAGCATGGCATGTGGTTCATAACAACTAGTGTGCATTATATAAAATAACATCTAGCAAAGTATAAATTCTTTATCTGAATTTAACTTTAAAAACACAAGGGTGATTTAATCACATTATTTGATCTTTATTTTAAGGATATAACATTAATTATATTACCCCTGACCATTCTGATAGGAGCTAAATGTTCGTCATGAAAAATCTTTGGTCAAGACTATGAGGAACCCTATGGCAGTCCTCACCCTCCCTGGGGTGCAGAAAGAGGATGGGATAGGGGGTTGGTGAAGGCCCAGGAAGGAGGAGAGGGAAAGGGAACTGGGATTGACAGGTAAAACAATATTGTTTCTAATTTAAATAAAAAATGAAAAAAGTGTCTTTAGTCAAATTTTATTAGTGCTACTATGCTTTGTATAATTCATTCTGAGCATGTTCGTTCATTCACCTAACATAAAATGTTTTGTACTGTTTACAAAGGAACCAGACATGTTACAAGAGCCTGAAATGCTTTGTAGCTATATGGTACAATAGCTTTTCAACTCTACTCCAAGCCCTCTCCCATAAATTCCAAACAGGCATTTTGGAATTAAAAATGCCTATTTATACCTCAGGATACACGTCAAAAATCTGACCGTCTGTCTACGTATGTTCACTTGAACTCTTGAGACTTCCTCCAAACACTGTACCTCCAAACATACATTTCTACATTCAGTTAAGAGCACCTTTTCCCTCCACTTGCTAGATAAAAACAATTTCGCAACTGTTCTTGACTCCTCTCTTCTTAAACACCATGTGTCTGCCACCAGCAGTCTTGCTGTTCTGCCTCCAAAGTCCTTATTTGTGAGTAATGAAAATTTCTCATTACTTCTACTGCTAATATTCAGAACAAAGCCACCACCATCTTATGCCCTGCTTATTACATAGCTATGATAAATCTACTACATGTTATCCTTCCCTGTTCTTGGATTTTAGTCAGCAAGATGCCAGAATGATCTGGTTATGTATGATGTTACATCAGGGGTCCCTATTCCATACAAAATTATTTTTGTGGAGCTAAAATAAAGCCAGCAGTGATGAAGTATCTGTAGCACATGAAGGCCTCTTCCCTCCATTCCCTGCCATGTGAGCTCATGTTTGCTCATTGTGCTCCATTTACAATGGAGTCTTTCAAAATCTCTGGTATATATTAAATTGTTTTGTATGACAATTTTGCCAGGATGTATCATGCATACCATGCAAGTACCTGGAGGCCAGAGGAGGGGATGAGACCCCCTAAAACTGGAGTCACAAAAGACTGTGAGCCACCATATTGGTGTTGGAAAAGAGTGCGGGTCCCCTCAAGAGCTCTCCAGCCACCTCTCCAGCCCTATTACTCGTCTCTTCATCATATATTTTCACAGCATATGAAGGCAAAGGTTTGTGTCTTTACCCCCTTAATACATCTAGGGGATAGACTAATACACAGTATATAACAGGCCCCAATGCTTGTTTAAACAGGGAAGGAAATACAAAATGGAGAGATCAAGATGATGGAACCAAATACTCCTGAGAATTCTGAAAACAAGTATGAGAGAATGATGGAAGGACTCAGTCTCTGACTGCTCTCTTGGGAAGAACATCTTCACAATAAATAGCAGGAGTAACAGAAACATCATCAAATCTACTTTTACAGACACATACTTCGATAACAGTTACTTTTGAAAGGCTTAGGAGAGTGACACTCCAACGCTATTAGAAAAGTAAATCCAGATTCGATGAACATATCCAAGATAACTCAGAGACCCTGAGGTATGGTTGCACCAATACTTCTTACCAAAAAAATTAATACCAGGGAAATATAATGATACTATGTGAGACATAATTCCTCTGCCCTTTCTATAGTTTTTTCATTTTAAAGTCCTTTTTATAAATTTCTTTTTTTTTTTTGAGGCTGGTGGCTTGGACTTAGAGACTGAACCCATGGCCAGGAAAGCACTGTGCCAGCCTTCTTTTAACCTTTTAGTTTTTCAGACTTACCTTACTAAGTTTTCTTGGCTGCTCCCAATCCCAAGGCCCTCTGTAACAATGGGAAGTGTTTTAACTTTGAGTCTTTGGCCACAACCTCCTAAGTAGCTGGGATGACAGACTTGTTCTATGAGCCCCCACTTAATTCCTATCGTTTGTTTTAAACAATTTGTCAAGATATTAGTATAGTTTAAAATAGCATCTGATATACATAGTTTTGGAATAAGGTAATTTTATTTTTTAATGATTCTAAGTGTTGAAATACTTCATTATAAATACAAAAATACATATAGTCTCAGCCATTTCACAGTTTTAAGTTAGGAGCTGAAAATAAAATGTACATGTCTAGAGTATTTCTGAATCAGGAGTCTGACTTGGTTGAACTTGTAACTGTCAGCTAAACAAATGCTGCCCCCTAGCGACAGCAAACAAGAACTGGCAACAGTCAGCTCTGCTTCTCTGCACTGTCGAATGCTGGGAAAAAACAGAAGCAAGTGGACTCAAATAGTTTTCCATGTTACCAATGATTTTAAAAACAGAACATAATTTCTTATACCTTGCAATCATAGATATGATACTTTTCATAAATTTGTAAGTATTTTCTTCAAATATTAATGAATATTTTCTTCAAATATTAATATTGCAAAATATTTTATTTTAGTCACTTGGAATTATTTTTATCAAATATTTTATTCAAATATTAATGTTGTGAAATATTTTATTTTAGTCACTTGGAATTATTTTTATCACCACCAATAAGTCATTTGTAATTGTGCTTAAAAACACTAGAATAACAAGAAAACAGGACAATGGAGTTTCTTAGTTATTCTAAAATTGTCTCCGCCCGTTTCGTGTTCCCATGGCATAAATCCACAGACTAGGTAAGTGATCCAAGAGTGTTGGGAGCAACAAGCCTGAGAATCGGGGCAGCTGACTAGGGACTTTCCTTGTGTCCTAACACCTGGTAGAAACGCTGGTGAGAGTTCTAGAAACTGTTTTTACTGGTCTGACATTAATGCTAATAGTGCAAGGGCTCAAGTGGATAAAACAGAAGAACTCAAGACAGCGGCCCCCAAGAATAACAGCTATGTTACTATGACTCTGTAAAGTTCTTCACTGGTGTCTGGTGAGATGACTTGGGAGGCAACTGTGCCCTGCTCTGGAGTGTGAGGAGGAGCTAAAGGAACACATGGTGCTCACTTCAAGAGACACTGTTTTTACTGAGAGAACGACAGGGAAATAATGGTTTAGAGCTTGGATATCTTGGTCAACATTTCTCAAAAACTGAGTAAAATAAGCCCATTACCTCAAGAAACATCTGAGCTGATGTTGATATTACCAAACGGGCTGGATAATGGATTAGCAGTTAAGAGTATGTTGTCCTTCCGGGGGGGGGGGGGGGGGGGGAACGACTGAATTTGGTTTCCAGCACCATGTTAGGTAGCTGACAACCACCCGTAACTCCAGTTCAGAGCATCCAACACCTCTGGCCTCCATAATAACCTGAACTGTCCAGTCTGTGGTGGAGCATACTTTTAATCCTAGCACTCAGGAGGCAGAGACAGGCAGATCTCTGGTCTACAGAGTGAGTTCCAGGACAGGTAAGGCTACACAATGAAATCCTGTCTGAAAAAAACTGAAGAAGAAGAAAAAAAAAGA